TAAAATATATTTGAGAAAAATAAATAAATAAATAAATAAATGCATGACCCATAAATTGCACACACCATTGGGTTTATATACACATCCTTTGTCAGAACCTGGTCATGTGGCCACATATAACTGCAAGGGAGATGTAGTCTTCAGCTGTGTGGCCATCTGCAGCTACAGAAGGGGAAGTCAGATCATTGCATGACTACTAAATATCTCTGCTACACTTCCCTTATCCCCGGATAATTTTTATCTCATTTCCTAAACAGGAAAAACTAATTTGACTCATTTATTCTTCTTACTCTACTAGCTATGGCAGAAATTGCATACCCTCAAATTACTCAGGGCTTTGACTAAATTTTCATGACTTTGCAATCCAAAAGCTTTGGCCTTTGGGACTCAGAAAGTAATTTCTCCCATTTCTGTCCTCTATAAGGTAAGGGAGGCCACTAACAAATAGGGGAAAGGTAAGGTGCACTGACAAACACAGGAGATGCCTTCAGTGTTACAAATATTTTACAGCTACAACTACAACTCAGACACCTCCCCTTCCTGCTAAGTCTTTTGGTGGTTTCCTTAGACTCTTAGTTTTGGCTTAAATTAAGACTCCTCAAAGAGGCATTCTCTGCTACCCTACTTTTTCCTTCATAACAGACATCACAATATGTAAGTGAATTCACATGAGCCTAGTGAGATTTAAAAAATCTTTAAGTCTTGTCCCAGGTGACTGAAAACAGTGTGGATGTGACCCTACTTACAATTAATGGTTCAAGACCCTAGAGCAGGGGTCCTCAAACTACGGCCCGCAGGCCACATGCAAATACAAATATTGTATTTGTTCCCGTTTTGTTTTTTTACTTCAAAATAAGATATGTGCAGTGTGCATAGGAATTTGTTCATAGTTTTTTTTTAAACTATAGTCCGGCCCTCCAACCATCTGAGGGACAGTGAACTGGCCCCCTCTTTCAAAAGTTTGAGGACCCCTGCCCTAGAGGTCAAAGTATAGACTTGGGTGGGGCTTTTCCCAGTGGATGCCAATGGGGGGAGACATGCTGGAGGACCAGATGGGTGCTACAGCTTGACAAATACCAGTCACAGACTCCTCTCCCTTCCCCCAACCAATACTAAGATGTCCCCACCATCCAGGACTAAAAACCCAGAAAAAAAGGGAGGAAGGGGAAAGCTTGACTCATTCAATCATGTTCAAATCTGAAATGACTGGGTTGTTTTGTTTTGTTTTGTTTTGTTGCTAGATTTGATTGAATTTTGCCTTTTCTGGCATCAGGAAAAATAGACGCTCAGGAGAAGCAAAATTCAGTTATAAAAAATGGAATGTTACATTTCTTGCATATTTGAGTCATGGCTGATAGGTGTGTTTTGGCCATATTAGAATTCTGGAACCACAGATGGGTTAACTTATGAAAACTTGTAATCACAGAGTTAATATATTCAGTCTAAGAATCATATAAGGTTAGAATCATAAACTCTATTCAGAAAGAACATTAGAGATTGTCTTAGTTTGGGTTCTCCTAAAAGTAGAGCCTAAGACCAGGATTTGGGTACTAGTAGCCCAGGAAGCCAGAGGAATCTGAGAGAGCGGGATAAGGAAAGGGAGGAAAAGCAATAAAGCAAGTTACCGAGCCAGTTTCCAATATGCCAACCAGTGCCCTATCTTTTCTAATAATTGATTGATTGATGAGAGAGAGAGAGAGAGAGAGAGAGAGAGAGAGATCAATTTGTTGTTCCACTCACACCTATGCATTCATTGGTTGATCCTTATCTGTGCCCTAACCAGGGATAGAGCCCACAACCTTGGCATATCAGGATGATGTGCTAACCAACTGAACTACCTGGCCAGGACTTATTGCCCTATCTCATTCAGACTCCTGAGCTACCAATGGATAAAAGACTGAGAAACTTATCCACCAACTCCCATCCTCCAGGGATTAAGGTTTTCCCAGGGTGGATCCTGGTTGAGAGAGTTCTCAAGGTTTCAGAGAAGCCAAAAGACTGCCAGGCACTTGAAATGAGATGCTGTCTGTGTGCTGGAAGTATCCACAGTAGCTCCAGCTAAAGTTAGCAGTGGGTTAAGGGAATGAGGAGTGGGACCAATAACAAGCAATGATCCAGTTTTACCCCAAATAAGAATTCCCTTCTAAAGGTCTGGACTAGAAGTCTACAGGATGCATCAGTCTGTGTGGATTTATTTGGTTCCATTAGCACCTTGTTAAAATGAAATTGAAATCTAAAGGCCTTTAGGAGGCTCATGCAGTTTTCATTTTGTCCTAGGCCCCACCACTCCCTATTGCTCACATGCCTTCAGATTTCTGTTACCTGCCTGGCCCCCAGAAGCATTTGACTTTGAGGCCCCTGCACGGCACATCTCATTGGCTACAGGGTCCTTCAGATCTTTGTCTCACATCTGTATCTTCAGCTCCTGACACACAGCCTGGCCCATGATAAATGTTTCATAAATGTTTGCCAGAGAATGTAGCCTCTGCTTGCATTTTTCCCTGCCTGGGAGCTCACTCCTTTCAAAGCTGCCTGTTGTATTGTCTGCTACCTGCCCCCAACCCCCTACTGACCGGCCCCCAGGCATTCCCAGTAGGGACTGGGGGGGTGAAACTCCCTGCTTGGGGTGAGCAGCAGGTTAATTTCCTCCTGGAGCTTCCCTCAGCAAACAATGAGACAATGGCCAGCCGGAGGTGGCCTGCGTAAGACAGTGGAGAAGGGGAAGTTGTAATCTGTGCTTGAAGCCAGCAGGCGGCAAAGGGGCGAGAAAAGCAGCCTGAGCCAGACCGGGCCCTCCACCCAGCCAGCCCCTGGGACTTCGGCAGGGCCCCAACCTGAAGGTCACCTGAGTCGCCCTTGAGGAAAACAGCCACAAACCACCATCCTCGAGGAGAAAACACGGATGGGTGGGGCTCACCCTACTACCCCCTCCCTGTCCAAATGGTCCTATTTCCTCTTCACATAACCCCATCTGCCTACCTTCTGGGCCCTGCTGGCAGGGAGATATCCCCAGACAAGACAGACACCATCTGATGCTGTCTGGCCTTGGGGCATGTTACTTAACTTCCCTGCACTTTATCTGTAAACAGGGAATGATACCACCTCCTTCCTCTGCTTATCAAGAGGACTGTCAAGCGGATTCCGGATTCCGTCCCTCCGTTTATGCGCATTTATTGAGCATCTGCTATGTGCAGGCGCTGGCTGTGTTGGATGTTGTGGATACAATGTCCCTGCCCTCGTGGAACACCGTTGCAACATGGAGAGAGTCAATAACCAGGCAATTGCCCCAGGGCATGAAATCACACCAGTGACAGGTGTCACAGGAGAGCAGGCAGCACCATTATGGCCAGGCAACACAGGACCCTAGGCTGCAAGATTGATGTGGGCTTCCTCTAGGAAGAGGCAGCTAAACTGAGTTAAACAGGGAGTGGAAGTTGACTAGGCCAAGGGGAAAGGGCCCAGGGAGGCAACGCAAAGGCCTGGATGTCGGAGCAAAGAGTGACACCATCCCACTGGCTTTCTGATAATGCGTGGAGGTGCTCAGCACAGCGCCCAAGCCGGTGGGCTCCCACCTCAACAGAGGGGTCCTGTCTAAGCACCTCATGCACGACAAACTGCTGCTTCCCCAAACCTCCTCACACTGCAAGGGCTGAGACTTGCTATACCCACCTCACAGATGAGGAAACTGAGGCTCAAGGTAGGGGAGAGAGAGAGATGAGTGAGCACAGCAGGTGGGTCCCAGCTTCCTCTGGGGAAGGGTCAGCGGTTGGCAGGACATCCTGAGATCACAGAGAAACTCAGGAGGACCTCCCCTCCCACACACACATCTCAGGGTAGTTTCTTGCCCCGCTTCCCATGCCCCAGGGGCTCCCCTAAATCCAGCTCTGTACCCAGAAAGGAAAGGAAAGAGGACTACAGATAACTGAGAGATATACCCATCCCAGGACATAACCCCACATGTCCAAAAGAGCTGAGCAGCCTCGCCCAGAGCCATATCCACACCCGGGCTCAAAACCAGCCTGTGGCTCTGCGCCTCCCCCAAGAGACTGGCTGCACGCCACGGAGTCTCCCAGAAAGAGCAGCTCCCACCACGGAGAGCGGTAGCTGTGCCCTTCTGGGTCCTTCCTCTTAGCTACCCAGTGCTATGAGCCCCACCTTACTGAGGAGGAAACTGAGGGATGAAGAGGGAAGCCTCCTGCCCATGGTCCAAGAGTCGACAAGGAGCTGTGCCAGGTTCCAAGCTGATTGGCCTCACAGCTGGTGCTCCACATCCCCATCTCCTGCAGGAGCCCCTGGTGGCTCACTTTACAGACCGCATCACTGCACGCTCAGAGCCCTCTGTGGCTTCCCGTGAGTCAAGGTAAGTCCTTGCCTTGGCTCAGCCTCTCTGCTCATCTCCCACTCGGCACAGCCTTCCCTTCTCTCACTCGCTCCCACCTCGTTGCACCCTGCTTTGTATTTCCCCACAGGCCTCATCTCTGCCTGACCACCTAGGCGGCATTTATTTGTCTGCTGTTTGTCTGTGAGCCCAAGAAGGCAGCGTGCACTTGGTTTCTTGTTCACAGCTAAGCCCCAGTGCTTGCCCAACGGTAAGTGCTCAACAGGTATTTGTCACATGAATGAAGAAAGGCCGAAAGGTCTCCAGTCTCACTCCAGCCCCAACTACATCCGAAACCTGCATCCTCAACTCCCCCCAAACACCCCACTTGCTGATACCAGCCTTTTGGGTTCAGGAAAAGCCCAAGCACAGCCAGCTCCTCACTGACTGGCCGGCCACCAGCCTTGGCAGGTCCTGATCACAGGCCCCTCTAAGGATGGAGGAAGCCAGAGCTCAGCGAGAACATGTGGCTTATCCAAGGTCACAGAGCCCCAAAGGTCACAGAGCCCCAATTCCCTGGGGGGAACATCTCACTCCCCCATCACTAGAGCGGGGGGGGGGGGGGGGAGGGGGGCTCTGCTTGGAGGCCCAAAGGAATGGGAATATGGAGGCTCCAGCTCACCCACTTGCTCCAGAGAACCCAGTTATGTTGGGGGGCAGGGTGTCACTCTGCTGCCAGCAGCTCCCTCCTTGCAGCACTGGGACTCCAGCTCCACGTGTTCCAGGAAATCCAGGCCACATTTCCCTCCAGGAGCCACCGCCCAAAGGGACCCTCTGGGGAGAGACAGAGCATTTTTAAGGAAAAGGGGGGGGAAGGTGGGAGGTGTGGGAGAAAGAGTCACCAAAAAAAAATAATAATAAGATACTGTGGCTGGGCCAGGAATGTGCCTGGGTGAACCAGAGCCAAGCCTCCTGTCACATCCACAGCTGTGCCGGCCAGGGTGGGGTGCAGGGCGCAGGCGGGGCCGGGTCACTCTCAGGACAGGACACCAGCTGCCAACCTGCTCCTGGCAGGCAGGCTGGCTCCCTGCCTCCCGCCTGGGGGGGTAATGGGAGGAGAGCTGGGCAAGCACCTGGGACAGAAGTCAGGGCTCCGGGTTCTGCTACCCCAGCCCATTCACCAGCCTGGACCTCAGTTTCCCCATCTGTGCAATGACAAGATTTGGAGAAATGCTACAACAGGGTGACTTTTCAATAAGAGACCAGTTGAATAAAAGCAGGGAAAGGGACAGCTACACTTTTTAACAGGGTTTGACCTGGGGTCCCAAACTCAGGGACTCTGTGAACTTGGATAGAAGAAATAACAACCTCATAGTCACCAGCCTCTAACTGAAATTCAGCATTTCCTTCAAGTATGCATGTGGATCATGAGCCACAGCAGGGTTAGCAGTGGCCTTGTCACAACAGAAGCTGAAGGCACTTTTGTATGATAACACAGTGGTTGCAGACACCTCCACAAATCACTGATGCTCCCCAAGACCCGGGCCCTGCATCCATACCGTTTATTTTGTGTGCTATTAAAGGAATTCAGCTTTTACTGCATCACTAACCCTTGTTACTATTGCAGTAATAGCATTTCAATATAGTGGGTTTCCTAAAATATAATCATACACTTTACTTTATGTGCTTAAAAAAAGGAATATAAGAAGGGGGTCCAACCTGTCACCAGATGTCAAAGGGGTATACAACACAAAAAGCTAAAAATCCCCTCTTTATATGCAGCCATTTATATTTTTAAATGGGGACGTTCTCTATATACTGACTTGGAACAATGTCAAAACACAGTGCTAAGAGCAGTCAGAAAAGCAGGATACACCAGTGTCTGTGTAAGAACCAGGCGGGTGCCTAGGTTCACCTGATGCAGGGACCCCTAAACCATAGCAGTGGTCATCCCCAGGGCCTGAGCGCCCTCAATCCCTGCAGCTCTGCCTTTCTTTCATGCACGTATATATTCAGGGAGAGTCGAGATTCTGGAAGGTGGCTGTGCCTGGAGGAAACAGATTTTGAATCTTCCCAAATTCCCACATCCAAACAGACAAAGCAACTAGGTTGCAAACCAAAACCAATGGACAAGATTTAGGACAAAACTAGTTGACAAGGTGTCCCCACAAATCCCAAAATCCATGTGGGTAGAGACAAACCTGCACATTATTAAGGTTTGTGTGGGAGAACACTCCCACCATGAGTATTTATTTGTTTGGGGGACACACACAGTCTCTGCCCCAGGATCCAGGAGTAGTAGGGAACACAGACAATCACAGAAACATGTGAGAAGAGTAATTCTAAGAGTTTGAGACTCTGAACATGTATAAAGGAACCCATGTTTGAAATATTTCATTGCTAAAAAAAAAAAAAAAAAGAGCAAAGGAAGAAAGAAGGTGAGAAAGAGGTCGGTAGACGTTAAACAGACATGCTGGTAACTCCTCCTCTGCAGGCCCAGACCAGTGGCATCTTAGGGCAGCTGTTCACACACACAGGCTCCAGGGGAGCTGCCCAGCCCCCAGTTCAGAACTCAATGCCCACTACCCAGCATCTTCCTTTTTGATGAATCATGTGTTTGTGGACTAAAAGGCAGGGTTATCCCAGCCAGGAAGTCCTTAGAGTCATCAGCGTGGAGGCAGCCCCTTAAAGCGGAAAAAACAGCCCTCAGAGGCTCGAAACACAGGTTCGAGTCCCAGGCCGGCCACATAATTCACAGCGTGATCTCACACTGGTCTCAGAGGCGCAGAGCGAAGGCAGCTGCCAGGGCTCACCCATAAACCTGCAGATGATTCTAGACACCCAGGTGGAGGAAATCGGAAGCCCCTGGCAGCCACTAAAGGTAGGGGTGAGGATGAAGCCAGGTCTGTGCCCTCTCTCCTTGGTTTCTCCAAATACTCAGGCAGCACCACCCTCCGGGCAGGACAAGAACAGTGCACTCGGGACCCAGCCACACTCCTGTTCACTCTAAAGCAACCCCAGCAGGAGGTATCCTTATCCCCGTTTTACAGATGAGGAAACTGAGGCTTAGAGAGGGGAGGAAGGCCCCAATGTGCTCTGACCTGGGTCTCTTGTGGGGGCCCTCACCCCTGGGACAGCTCTGTGCTGGCAATCCTGACCTCCACCAAGCCTGGAGGCCCACTCAGGGGTGTGGCTGTCTCCCTGTAAGCAGAGCTATTTTTAGTGTCGGCAGCAGGGGCTAAGGGCCAAAGCCAGGAGTGACAATGGGGGGAAGGGGGTGGGGCTGCTGGCGGCCGCCCCCGCACCCAAACAGCCGCCCCATTTCCTCGAGGAACCAGGCCATGCACAATACAAGGAAAGCCGAATGGGGAGCGGCTGGGGGTTCCTGGGGAGGGGGGGCTGACCTGGCCCATCAGGGCAGCTGGGGGCTATGAGGGGGACTCCAGACCAGGGGGAAATGGACCATTAGTCCAGCTGCCTGGTCCCGACAGAAGTGATCGTTCATGCTCCACTCACTCCCATACACACACACTCACATTCATTCTCTTTTACACATACACACACTTTCTTAATCTCTCACTCAGTCATTCTCTCATACAATAATCATACTCATTCTCACACACTCATTCACCGACACTGACATATTCACATTCATTCTCACACTCACTCATTCTCACACACTCATCTCTTACATATATTCTCTCTCTCTCTCTCTCTCTCGCTCTCTCTCTCACACACACACACACACACACACACACACACATACACACACATACATGAGTCTTTTATTAATTCCTAGGCCAGGGCATGGTCTAATCCAGCCTAGAGGCTGAGAACTGGGCCCCGGGGACTCAATGAAATGAGATTCCCAAGCAGGAATTGATTTGGGGACCAGATGAGAAATGTTGTCATGAGCACCCCAGACATTTTACCAGGGTCCTGGCCTCTTTGGGGAGGGACGTCCCTGCTGGGGAGGTTTCAAGCCTGGGGCTGGGACTCTCAGACAAGGGAGGGCTATGTGACAGGAACAGGAAGGTGGTCCCCCATAGCCTGGTAGCAAGGGCTCCTTCCTTGCTCCTCTACAAGGGGAATTCCAGTTTTGCCTGGGCAAGAGCCCTGAACTGAACTTGGTATCTGAGGTTCCCCTATGTTATCCCATGGCTTAGGGTAGGAGAAGGCTTCTCCCTCTTCCCCATCCCTGCTCTGCCAGCCACCGCAGACTGAACTCTGGCTAATGCCTCCTATCCATCCCACCTCTACACCCTTTTGTGTGCCAGGCCCCATGCCAGGGGTGCCCTCCTCTGTCTCCTGTTCTCCCACCACCATTAAAGCTCTGAGAACAAGAACAGTGATATTCTTGTTTGCCATCACATCCCCAAAACCAAGCAAGTGCCTGACACATAGTAGATGCTCAATAAATACCTGTGGCATGAAATCCTTGCCTCTTCCTGGAGGCCTCTTCTCCTCCCCAAACCATGGACAAATTATCTCATTGGGCCTTCTCAACTGCCCGGTGAGGCAGACATATTCATTCCCATTTTAGGGAGGAGGAAACTGAGACTGGAGAGGGAATGTGGCTGGCTGAGGATCACACAATGGGTAGCAGCCTAGGCAGGACTTAATCCTCAAACGCACATACCCACCCCTGGCTGTCATCAGCTCTGGGAGTGAGTCCACAGAGGAGAGAAGATGACAAAGCTTTACTAAGAGAGTAATCAAGGCTGGCAAGAGTGGGGTTTGCTTGTTTTGGGGTGGTCCACTCCAAGAGTGAGAGCTTCTTCCGCCCCCCCAGGACCCACTCAGAGCTGGGCTCTCCTTCGCATGGGTGAAGCTGCACCCAAGGATCAGGAAGGAAAGGCAGAGGATTTTTGGACACGTACTGAAGGCAGACTCTGCACCACATAAAAAATTACCCATTGGAGGTGTTTAAGCAATATTTGGGGAATACTCCTAGGCAATAAAAAGAAGCAAACTACTGATACAACAACATGGGTGAATCTCGGAGACATTAGACTAATGAAGAGCCAGGCACAAAACAGTACATGCTGTCTGATTCCATTTCTATGAAATTCTATGAGAGGCAAAACCAAGAGATAGTGACAGACATCCAATTAACGGTGGCCTGGGCCCAGGAGACGGGTTGGTGGGTGAGGGGCACAGGTATTTGAGAGTGATTGGAAATTATCTGGTCCTGACTGGGTGGTGGTTACACAGGGTGTACATTTGTCAAAACGCATGGGAAGAGACACACTTAAGATGGATAACCTTAAGTACCTCTGATGTTACGTTAATAACATCCTGATACAATTGTTTTTAAAAATTAGCACCATGCTCTCAACTTTGAGAATCTATCATCACTTACCAGTCAGTCTGTGTTCTCTCTGGTAATGGAGGGTGCCTCCTTCCAGATGGTTCGTAAGTCCCAACATGTGAGGTTGCATTTAGGCACCTGCCAAACTTATTTCCAGGAGCAGAATGCTGCGAAGCAAACGCAGGCTGCTGTTTACTGAGCACATGCTGCTCATGGGTAACTCACTTCCCCCAGCACCCAATGAAGTGGGTGCTCATATTATCTCCCCTTCACAGAAAAGGAGAAAGGTGGAGGGAGAGGGGTTTTGCTCAAGATCACACAGCTGGCAGGTGGGAGAAAGGGGATTTGAACTCAGCCTGCCTCCAGGAGGTCACTGTTCCACCTTCCAGATGGTTCCCTCTTTTCTGGCCTCAAATGCTCCCCATCCCTTCCATAAACAAAATCCCAGCAGGGGTGCAGGCGTGCCCTCCTTACCTGGGAATGCCGGAACTGTAGCCAGCTTGTTCCACTTCCTGGCTGTGTGATCTAGGATGAGTGCCTCTACCTGCCATGTTCATCTGTAAAATAAGGGGAAAATACGACTTACCTTTAACGGGTACGAGGTTTTCTTTTGGTGATAAAGTGTTTTGAAACCAGACAGAGGTGGTGGTTGTACATCGTGAATGCACTAAATGCCACTGAATTGTCAACTTTAAATGGTTAATTTATGTTATTAAATTTTGACTCAATAAAAAAGAAAAAAGGGGAAAAGAGATCATCTGTGTAGATATCAATGGACAAGTACATTAAGAAAAAAACTACCTACCTTAAAAGTTATAGTGAGGATTCAAAGAACAGCAAATATCAAGCACCTAGAATAATGCCAGACTAGCAATAAGCACGCAAGACATTGGTATTTTCTTTCATATTTAGTGGCCCCAATTGTCGGCCAAGCTGCCATGGTGGATGCCCAGTGGCTGCACAAGCCCCCCGGGGCTCCCTGCCTCAGCCCATGTTCTCCTGTCTGCCCTCCATCTCCCATCACTCACTTCACTCACTTGTGCCCATCCACACTGGCCTCTCGGCCTTTCATCCTCCCCCTTGCTGAGCAGGCTCCTGCTACAGGGCCTTTGCACTGGCTGTTTCCTCGGCCTGAACACTCTTCTCGACTCACACAGCTGCGTCCTCACTTCCTTCAGCTCTTTGCTGAAATGTCACCTCTTCAGAAAGGTCCTCTTTGACCACCCTCAGAAAACAGCTCTGCTCCAGCCACTCACCATCCCCTCACGGGCTTTACAGTCTCATGTGAAATGGTACACTGATTTGTTCATTGTGTTTTGTTCATCTCCCCATGAGATTGGCAGCTCTTTGAAGAGGGATGTTGTTTCCTGCTGGGAGCCCAGCCTGGCACATGGTGAGCCCTCCATAGATAGTTGTGGAAGGAAGGAAGGAAGGAAGGAAGGAGGAAGGAAGGAAGGGAGGGAGGGAGGGAGGGAGGGAGGGAGGGAGGGAGGAAGGAGGAAGGAAGGAGGGAGGGAGGAGGAAGGAAGGAAGGAGGGAGGGAGGGAGGAAGGAAGGAAGGAGGGAGGGAGGGAGGAAGGAAGGAAGGAGGAGGGAGGGAGGGAGGAAGGAAGGAAGGAGGGAGGGAGGGAGGAAGGAGGGAGGGAGGGAGGGAGGAGGAGGAAGGAGGAAGGAAGGAAGGAAGGAAGGAAGGAGGAGGGAGGGAGGGAGGGAGGGAGGGAGGGAGGGAGGAAGGAAGGAAGGAGGGAGGGAGGGAGGGAGGGAGGAGGAAGGAGGAAGGAAGGAAGGAAGGAAGGAAGGAAGGAAGGGAGGAGGGAGGGAGGGAGGGAGGGAGGGAGGGAGGGAGGGAGGGAGGGAGGCCCCAGATAGTGGCCATCTGGTCATTCAGCTGGGCTCAAATGTGTGAGTCACCAAGGACAGGGACCCTGGGCTTGCCTCAGTGGCCTCAGGATTGATTAGCACGTGGGGCATCTGTTGAGAAAAAAAGACCTCTACTCCGTTCAGGGTCCTGCCACCTGTAAGAGACTGGCCTGCCCCCACACCACCCTACCCTGTCCCAGTTTTACTTCCTCCCCTTACAGCTGTTCCTTCCACCTCCCAGCCTCTTCCATTCCTCCTCATCTGGTCCCTAGAACATCTCCTTGGGCCTTTGTCTTTCCCCTCAGCTGCTCTAGGGGGAAGTTAGATACCTTCCTTCATCCTCTCCTTCCCCACCCTTCTGGCCTGGATCGAAAGCCTCCCGGTCAGGCTCAGCACCCACTCCAGCCACTCCCCTCACCTCCAGCAATTTCCAGGGAACAGATGTGGAGAACAGTGGTCAGGCAGATGTGGTCAGAGGAGCCTCAGGTCCCTCCCCAGGTCAGTTTGCTGTGTAACTCATATCTCCACTCAGAGGCCAGCTGGGGAACTAGGCTATTTGTGCTCCAAATCCAGCGCTACCACTTGCTAGCTGTGTAGCCTTAGGCAAGTCACTCAACCTCTCTGTGCCTCAGAATTTATCTTAGCACAAGGGTGCAAGGCAATAATGCAGAAGGGCTTTGTAAACTGCAAAGCCCTAAACCACCACTGGCTGTGTATTTGTGCTATTTCTGACCCAAGGAGCCCAGAACTGAAGGACAACCTCCCAGTGGCCCTAAGCTATTGCAGATGTTATTTGCCATCATCCTTATTACATGATCGATAACATCCTCAGGTTTCACAAAGGCCACAGTCAAGGGTCCATTAACTTTAAGACAGGGGTAAAGTCCCAGAGAACACTCTAGAACAGCACACTTCCAGCGAAACTCACCATCCCGCAGGGGCCTCACAATAATCCCAAACAGGGAAGAGTCATTACTATTCCATTTTACAGATTTGGAAGCTCAGGCTGCCTCCCTTAAGCCCAAGCTTTATTGTTGTTCCTGCCTGGCAGACTGGAGTCCTTGTCCAGCCCCCCATACCTGCACCCACCCTACCGCCCTGGGGACTCCTTTGAGCTCCCCCCGACTCCTGTTTAGCAATACCTCTCCCCGGTTTTCCCAGGCACTTGCCTATTCTCCCAGAATCCTTCTGATCCCAGCCTGCCTGGCAGTGGTCAATGCCAGATCCACCTCACTTTTCCTCCAGATTCCAAACAAGATCAACTGCATTTCCCCTCCTGATTCCAAAATGAGGCAGGCTGGCAGCACTGCGCACTACTGGGGAAGGGGGCCGGGCAGGCCTGGATTTGTTTGTAAACATTAGCAACAGCTACTACATCTGGATAGGTTCTTGTTCCTATCTTAAAATGCAGCGCAGAGGAATTGGGTGAGCAACTTGCCTGAGGTCACATAGCTAGGGAGAGTGAGAGCCAGAGTTGAAACTCAGGTCTATTTGACTCCAAAATGCTTGACATCAGCCTTTGAAGTCACTGACATTGGGTGACTTCATTTCCAGCTCTTCCCCTAAGACTCCTCATCTCTAACATTGAAAGAGTAATACTTTATTGGATTTGTTGAGTTGAGAGAATTAACTTGGATGAGTTTGTAAAGTGCCCAGAAGAGCACAGGGCACCTGGATGTGGCTGGGGGCTCTGTGGTCAGGCCAACCAAGGGTTAAGTCCCAGCTTTTGCCTGTGGAGACAATTACTCTACCTCTCTGAGCTTCACTAGACCCATGTGGACAACAGACACCATCAGCCCCTCTCTCAAAGATGGTGCTGGTCCCAAAAGCTAATTTTCTGAAAGTTAGAAACATGGCTCTCATACCAATAAGAAGTGAGCACATGCCAAAATCATATGTGATTCATTGGTATTACCCCGTCAGCAGTGAAGCTGCTTCTAAAAGTGTTAGAGAGTCTGAAAGGTTTATAGCTAACGGAAGACAAAATGCTGAAACAGGATTGCAAAGTGAAACTGGTTAATGTCCTGCAGGACCAAACAAATGTAACCTTTGGGGTGATCTTTTCTACTGGAGACAAATGATTTGCAACTTAAATCTACAAGTGAGCCCATAACTTTCCTGAGTTTGGGCCCCAATACGTAAGGAAATGACAAGTCAAACAAATATCTGTCCCCCTCGAGAGTTACTTAACTAACCCTGGAGTGGGTCTGTTAGACAATGGTACGCAAAGAACATGCAGTTCTCCTTTTGTTTTATTTCCAAGTTTGGGATTTTTTTTAAACCTGAGAATGCAATGCAATAATGGAAGAACTTTAAAGTGCTGAATGCCTCTTGGCTTATTATTTGGGTAGCATCTCTGCCCAACAACCCAGAACTCTGAGCAGCAATCCCTATGCTCATCAAATGAGGTGGACAGGGAGCTAGGAACACTCAGAAGAATGCAAAACAAACAAACAAAAAGAATGCAAAACTATTTGCAAGCATGGCCTCATTCATCTTGATTTCCTTCCAGAGAACTCTGAGTTCAGGCCTGGGATTAGCATGAGGTGATGCCTCACATCACACAATCCATAAGTCTCCTTTCCACAGAGTCCCTGCTCACCTAATGACATCATATCTAATAAAAGAGAAACATGGTAATTGGCATACGACCGCTACCCTTCCCATTGGCTAATCAGGGCGATATGCAAATTAACTGCCAGCCAAGATGGCGGCTGGCAGCCAGGCAGCTTAAACTGAACATGAGGCTTGCTTGCTTCAGTGACTGAGGACTCCAAAGTTCCCCGCCTGCCTTGCTGGCCTCTGAGCCTGCAGTTTGAACATTGTAACAAATATAGAAGCTACACAAAACCCCAGAAACCTGCTTTCAGCAAGCAGGGATCTCAGAGCTGGAGGTGATACAGAGTTTCGATTATAGAACCTAAACAAACCAGATACCTACTTTCAGCAGCTGAGGCCTCAGAGCTGGAGCCAAGCCTCAGAGCTAAAGCTGGCCCAGAATTAAAAAAAAGAAAAAGAAAAAAGGAGCAGTTGGGAGCTTCAGTCCCAGCCTGAAAACAGCCCTCAGCCCCTCATCCAGGCTGGCCAGGCACCCCAGTGGGGACCCCCACCCTGATCCAGGACACCCTTCAGGGAAAACCAGCCAGCCCCACCCATGCACCAGGCCTCTATCCTATATAGTAAAGGGTAATATGCCTCCCGGCACCGGGATCAGCGTGACAGGGGGCAGCGCCCAAACCCCCTGATCGACCTGCGGCTCTGTGTGTGACAGGGGGCGGGGCCACAACCTCCCTATCGGCCCTGCTCTATTCCTGACAGGGGAAAGCGCCCCAACCCCCTGATCAGCCCTGCTCTGTGCCTGATAGGGGGGAGCTCCCCAACCCCCTGATTGCCCTGAGGCTCTGTGTGTGACAGGGTGCGGTGCCCCAACCTCCCCACCCCACGGGCCCTACTCTGTGTGTGACAGGGTAGAGCCATAACCTCCCCATCGGCCCTGCCCTGAGTGTGAGAGTGGCGGCGCCCCAACCCCCTGATCCGTTCTGCTCTGTGCGTGACAGGGGGGAGCTCCCCAAACCCCTGATTGGCCCTGCTCTGTGCATGACAGGGGGTGGCACCGCAACCTCCCCATCGACCCTGCCTTGAGTGTGACAGGGGGCGGTGCCCCAACCCCCCAATCGGCCCTACCCTGAGCGTGACT